GAAATAATTTCAAACTCCTGAGTTTGACATTCAAAGGTTTTGATAATTTGAATATTACTCACTTTTTCAGGTTTTACCCAATAGCCCAGTAGTTACTTTATATTCAGTTTTCTTGCTGATTTGACATTTATATACACTCTGCGCTTTCCCATTTCCATTGTCATTACTTGTATTGGTCCCTCTACTTATAAGTCACATTTTCCTTTACTGTATTTAACTCAAGGGCCAACTGAAGTATATTTTTTTTCCATGAAAGTTTTCATGGTTGTATATATCGAACTTTGTCTCTCTTAATGCCATACTCATCACTTTTTCTTATCATATTTTGCTAAGATTTATATATTTTTTCAAAGATGAATATAGAAACCAAAGAATATTTGCTGCATTTATTTATTATAAACCCAAATATGCATTGCTGCTGAATTGATTCCGACCCATATGACCCTACAGGGCAGAATACAATTGTTGAGTAGGTGAAATCTTTATAGAAACAGTCTACCTTTCTTTCTCCCTCAGAGCAGCTGGTAAGTTCTAATATCTGAGCTTTGGTTTAACAATCCAGGGTGTAACCCCCTGTATGACCAGTGCTCTTTTATTTATTATAGAGGGACAACATTGTTTCATTGATGAGATCTAGGCTTAAAGATTACCTTTATCATATATTGTGTGTTGTTGTTGTTGTTGAGTGCCATCGATTCCGTTCTGACTCATAGCCACCCTGTTTAGGGTTTCCAAGGAGCAGCTGGTGAGTTTGAACTACTGACTTTGTGGTTTGCAGTCAAGTGCTAATCCTACAGCAACACATTAGGAGTTGTACCTACTTATAAACAACTAATCAATATGATAGCCATATTGACTCACTGAAAGTTATTTCTTTTTTGATAATAAACTAGAATAATAATATTAATGATTTACAATTATATATTGGACTGTGGTAGATTTACTTATATTGTATAATACTCTTGATAATGCAGAAAATTAAATGGCATCATATTAATTTTACAAGGAAGAAAACAGAAATTCAAAACACATTTACATTTTTTCAGGACATTTTCTTTCTTTGGTAATTTCCCAAAATACAGATACATAAAAGGAAACAAATAAAACATGATCAAAGAAACTAAAGGAGAATAAAATAAAATAAGAATAAAAATAAAATAAGAATCCCTTTCAAGGCATTAGAAACTTACTAAGGCAGTTGATATTCAAAGTCCAAAACATTTTTATAAACTTATATGAAGTTTAAATGAGTGTGTGTGTATAAATGATTATTTGAAATTATATAAGGAGCTCTGGTAGCGTAGTGGTTACGAATCGGGCTGCGAACCTTAAGGTCAGCGGTTCGAAACTACCAGCCGCTCCGCGGGAGAAAG